GGATGAAATGTAGGTCAGTTGTTAAGCTGTGTGAGCTACATGTCCAAACTTCTTGTGATGGTGGGCTTAAGATATAAACCACTTATCGTTTTTGCTCTCTAGTAGGTAGTGCCCCCAAAACGGAACTAGTGATAGGTGGCAAGGGGCTTATTCCTTCCCCTTTTGTCTGCTGCTCCTGTCAACGTTACTGAAGCAATGGCAGTTGAGTGTTGTGGAATATTATTTTCACTAGGCAAACATGCTGTAGAATTTTACTTATCTGTGTAACGGTGTGTTACTTTTGTTTATGCTGCATTTATATAATGATGTAAGGATGTGTATTTAATTATGTAAAGTTGTGTTGCATCTGTTTCACCTTGCCTGCCTAAGGCAACTGATTGGTCTAATAAAGAGCTGAATGGCCAGTAGCTAGGCAGGGGAAAGGATAGGCGGGGCTGGCAGGCAGAGAGAATAAATAGGAGGAGGAGAACTCTAAGCTCACGAGAAGGAAGAATGAGAAAAAAAGGAGGAGAGAATGAGGGACATGCCTGGGGCACGAAGTCAGGCAGACACCAGTCAGACACAGAGAAGCAGTGAAAGTAAGAGACACAGAAGAAAGGTTCTAAGCCCTGGGGCAAGAGGTAGATAAAGAGAAACAGGTTAATTTATGTTAAAAGGGCTAGCCAGAAACCTGCCTAAGCTATGTCGAGCATTCAAAACTAATCAAGTGTCTTGATTTGGGAGCTGGTTGGTGGCCCAAAAGAAAAAGCCTGGTACAGTTGTCTATGGCCTTCACCTGCCTTTAGTCCTCCAGTGCCAGCCTTGCTGTGCTCCTTACTTGCACCAGAAACATTTGGGTAGCGTGTCCCCCTTGGTGTCCCCTTGGAGGTCTGAGACCCAGCTCTGTGGTAGTTTGTTGTTCTCATTTTGCTTTTCCATTGATGGCCAAAGGAAGTTCTTGCATTTGACTCTGTTGAAATACCTGATATGAGTTCTGATTTCCTAAGAATGTTTTTTTTTTTTGTTTTGTTTTTTTTTTTTTTGCCAGTGTCTGAATGTATCTATCGCCATGGTAAGGATGCAATGCAGGTTCTTTTTAAAAGAAAGCAGGAAAGAGAGCTTGGGGGAGCGGGATATCCCAGCTGGATCAAGAACAGAGAGGGAGAACAAGGAATAAAAGACCATGGTAAATGAAGACCACATGAGAATAGGAAGAAGCAAAGTGCTAGAGAGGCCCACAGAAATCCACAAAGGTGCCCCCACCACAGACTGCTGGCAATGGTTGAGATACAGCCCGAACTGTCCTACTCTGGTGATGGGATTGCCAAACACCCTAATTGTCTTGCTAGAAACCCCATCCAACTACTGAGGGATCTGGATGCAGAGATCCATGGCTAGGTCCCGGGTGGGTCTCTGGGAGTCCAATTAGCGAGAATGAGGAGGGTTTATATGAGCGAGAATTGTTGAGACCAAGGTTGGATAAAGCAGAGGGACAAATAGCCAAAGGAATGGAAACACATGAACTATGAACCAATGGCTGAGGGGTCCCCAACTGGATCAGGCCCTCTGAATGGGTGAGACAGTTGATTGGCTTGATCTGTTTGGGAGGCATCCAGGCAGTGGGACCAGGTCCTGTACTCATTGCATGAGTTGGCTGTTTGAAACCTGGGGCCTATGCAGGATCGCTTGGCTCGGCCTGGGAGGAGGGGACTGGACCTACCTGGACTGAGTCTACCAGGTTGATCTCAGTCTGTGGGGGAAGCTTTGCCCTGGAGGAGGTGGGAATGGGGGGTGGGCTGGGGGAAAGGTGAGGGGGGCCTGAGGGGGGAGAACAAGGGAATCCATGGCTGATATATAGAATTGAATTGTATTGCAAAATAAAAATAAAAATAAAAAATATCACGACTGGCCGGAGGTGGTGATGCACACCTTTAATCCCATCACTTGGGAGGCAATGCAGGTGGAAATCTGTGAGTTCATGGCCAGCCTGGTCTATAGTGAGTTCTGCAGGACTGCACAGAGAAGCCACATCTCAAAAAAAAAAAAAACAAAACAAAATAAATAAAAAAGTAAAAATTGGAGAGATGACTGAGCAGTTAAGAGTGCATGCTGCTCTTCCAAAGGCTGCAAGTTCAGCTGCCAGCACACAACTGCCTATGCTCCACAGAATCCATGCTCTCTGGTCTCTGCAGAGATTAAGGGGATACGAATTGGAAAAGAAGAAATCAAGCTTTCCCTATTTGAAGATGACATGATAGTATACTTGTGCGACCCCAAAGATTCAACCAAGGAACTGATACAGCTTATAAAAAAACCTTTCTTGAAAAACAAACAAACAAAAACCTGGAACCAGTGAGATAACTCAGCTGGTAAAGACTCAAGCCTGATAGCCTGAGTGTGACAGAGGACACATATAGACGTAAAGAAAGAACCCAGTACACAAAGTTATTCTATGATTGTCACGTGGTGCCAGAGTATACATGCATCCATACCCACACAAAATAATATTGACAATGCATTTTTCTTAAATTACATTTAAAAATTGAACCCAGGCATGATGGTGCAAATCTGTAATCACAAAACCCAGGGGGCAAAGGGAGGGGAATCAGGAACTCAGGGTCTGGCTCTACTACATACTGAATTCAAAGCCAGTCTGAGCTATACGAGACCCTGTCTCAAAAAAACGAACAACAACATTTAAAAAAAACATGACTACACCAAAATCTGAAATCTAATTGTTTACTAAGTTTAACATCAAGCTATGCTGACTAGCTCTTGTGGTTGTATGTGTCTAGAAGACCTAAACGAAACACTACTATTTCTGAATCTTCAAACAGCTATGCATTTCAAGACCTAAGTATATGGGAACGAGAACATATATAACACTAGGAAATGCCCATTAACAAACAACCTGTCTAAATAGGTACTGTCAGGGCCAGCAAGATGACTCCGATGGTAAAGGTACTTGCTGCTAATGTCTGTCAGCCTGGGTTCAATTCCTGGATGCAGTGGAAGGAGAGAAACAACTCCTCCAGGTTATCTTCTGTCCCACACACGTGGCTCATGCACTTACATACACAATTAGGAACTTAAAGGAAATTTTAAAAAATCTCAACTGAAAACTGTCTCAGCACTCTCCATCAGTCACTCCCCATCAGTCACTCCCCATCAGTCACTCCCCATGAGTCACTCCCCCATCAGTCACTTCCCCCAACAGTCACTCCCCTCAGTCACTCCCCATCAGTCACTTCCCCCATCAGTCACTCCCCTCAGTCACTCCCCATCAGTCACTCTCCATCAATCACTCCCCCATCAGCCATTCCTCATCAGTCACTCACCCCCATCAATCACTTCCCCCATCAATAAGTCCTCATCACTCACTCCTCCCCCACCCAAAGTCACTCCACCCCTCAGTTGCTTGCTTATTCTGTGATAAAATACTATGAAAAAGCAACTTAGGGAAGACAAGAGTGTGTTCTAGGACTCAATGTACTAACAGGCAGTCTTGAACTATCAGCCACTAATCTGATCATGTCCACTTAGTTCTAAGCCCATTCTCTGAGCAGCAGTGGTAGGTGGAGGGTGAGGTTCACAGAAATTTTCTACATGTTCTCGCAAGGGTCCTGTGGTCAGTGTGTGTTCCCATCTTTCTCCCATACTCTATTCCCCAATTATCTTGCAATGCTACACAATTCATCCTCCGGTGTCATCTCTATAACCTAGGAGGAACAGGCAGCACGCACATGCATGCAGAAGCAAGCTAAAACTCATTCTACATGCATGCCCTGGAAGCAAGGTTTAACTTCACACGACCTTTCACAACCCTGTTCACAGTGGCTCCCTCGTTCCTCATCTATTGGGCCACACCTACCATTTGTGCAACAAAGCAAATACCACCTACCTCAGCAAGAGGTCATAAAGCCCAGAGCAGTCAGTCAGGGAGGGAAAAGCCTATAGCGCCCATCTGGAGATGAGCGTGAGGACGCAAACCTTGAGGAATGTGGAGAAGCGTGGAGCATGCTCAGAAGGACACATTGACGTCACCCTTTCCTCAGGCCTCTCTTGATGCCTCATCAGTAGTAGACATGACCAAACAATAGGCCTTGAGTGTCGTCATTCCTGGGGCCCCACTTCTCTCTGTGGTTTCGGCCCACTACTAGTCATGGCCCGCAAGGTCCATTGGCAATATATATACGTTGTGAGGAATGAGAATGGTGAGGAGATAGCTGAGGTCTCCACCTTAGAGGCTGCCTTGGCCATGGTGGGTGGCAACCCTAGTGGAGGTGACGCGGGCTGCGTAATGGAACTAAATAACGGGGTCCGCCAGGTCCGTGAGAGCCAAAACGACTCTGAGGAGAGCAGTAGGGACCCGAACTCCTCTTCCTCGGAGCCTCACCAGGAGGAGCCAAGGCCCTCAGCCGAGCCTGTGATTCGGATTCCCAGGCGCCGTTCATCACGAAGGCGGCAGCGAACCACATTGAAGTTCACACTGGGGCAGGTCGAGGAAATGGAAAAATTATGCAAAGAAACTCAGTACCCAGATGCGCTTGCCAGGTATGTATGTGTCTTGCACCAGGAGCTATCCCCAACCTCCCTGTTGTCACAGGTTGAGATGTCCTTTTGTTGTTCCAGGCCCCGGTTTCCTGTCATCCTACCCTAAGACACTGCTGTCTTCTCCCTAGGTGGTGGGTACAGGAGGGTGCCTTGTGTAGGGGTCAAGGTCAGTATTAGCGTGTAGTGTTGGCCCAAACAAGTGTACATAGTCAACACCACTCATTTCGAGTCATATTTTAATTTCTGTAAAATATTGAGACATGAGTATAGTGTGCCAAAATACTCACTAGTGTAAAGTTCACCAGTGTTAAGGATTTACACTTTGTTGGGTGACCTCCTCACCAGTAGTCTTGTCATCTTTTCAGGGACTGTGTACCTATCAATCAACTCCTTTCGCTTTCCCTTTCCCTTCCCCGGTGCTGTTTTTTAATTTAGCACAATTTGCTCGGCATACACTTTGGCATTTATTTTTAAGTTTTCATAGAGTGTTAAAATTAAAATCTTTTTTAGAAACTTTTATAAGAGGTGAAACCATTGCAAAAGCAAGACTAGTTCTGAGAATGAAAGTTAAAGGGGGGGTTGAGGGAAGATAGCAATATTAAAAAAGCATAGAAATCATTTATGACTTTGCAGTTCATGTAAAACACGGCATGCTAAACATTTGTGGTTCTCTTTCCACAGGAAAGAACTTGCACAAGCTTTGACAATTCCTGAAGTCAAAGTGAAGGTCAGTAAATCCAAGCAAAGACATTGAACAGTCAATCTACAGCCTTCCTCATGTCTTGGGAAGCCTTGTCCTAGGCACTTTTTTTTATTTAAGATTTTTTTTCATTTTACATACCAACCACAGTTCCCCTCCTTCCCCATCTCCTGCTCTCATCCACACCTCCTCCCTGAACTCCCACATCCACTCCTCATAGGGGGTAAGGCTTCCATTGTGAGTCAACAAACCTGGTACATTCAGTTGGGGCAGGACCTACTGCATCAAGGCTGAACAAGGCATTGGGTTCTTGGGGAGTTCCCTAGCACCAGGTTTCTCCCTAAAACCATAATGGCTCTCTTAAGATATCTCTTTCATTGCTCTCCCTTTCCATTCCTACTCCAACTTGGCCAACCAGATCCCTCATGCTCCTATCTCCCAACCCCTCCATTCTATCCCCTACCCAGTTTACAAAGGAGATCGTATCTGTTTTCCCTTCCTGGGGTGATCCATGAATGTCCCTCTATGGGACCTCCTCTTTACCTGGCTTCTCTTGGGTTGTCGATTGTAGCCTCATTGTTCTTTGCAAGAGAGGCTGATGCACTGCATCTCTAGAGAGGCTGACTCACTGCATCTCTAGAGAGACTGATTCACTGCAGTTCTAGAGACTGAAGCACTACAACTCTAGAGTTGATGATGCACTGCATCTCTAGAGAGGATGATGCACTGTAGCTCTAGAGACTGGTGCACTGCAGCTCTAGAGAGGATGATGCAGTGCAGCTCTAGAGAGGATGATACACTCCAGCTCTAGAGACTGGTGCACTGCAGCTCTAGAGAGGATGATGCACTGCAACTCTAGAGAGGATGATACACTCCAGCTCTAGAGACTGGTGCACTGCAGCTACAGAGAGAAGGTGGACACAAGACACAAGAGAAAACACCCATGGTCTCCTGTTTGCACACTCTTGAGTGTGACTTTCCAATAGCCTCGTTTCTGATTTCCTCTTTCCTCTTACAAATGCAAACGATAGGCTTTAGGAATCAAACGGGGAACTCTGACTTAATGTGAGACCACATGAGTCAGCCACTGGGGCTTTATTTGAGTTCATGGAGGCATCAGGATGGTAGTAGGGCTTCTGGTGTTTTGGTTGGTCTTCTATAGACTATACATCCATATAATAGGCAGGGAAAGAAAGGACATGGAGGCACAAATGTACAGTTTGAGAACTTCCCAATACAATGGACCCTCATTTCACTAGGAGCCTGAGAGGATGGTGACATCTAACAGGTTACTGTGACTGTATTTCCATAGCTAGACCATATTTAGAAAGAGCTGATTTATGACCACTTTCCCCACACTGTTGTGGACCATCTTACTCTTTGCCTTTTGAAGAAAGATGGGCTTTAGATGTCCTGATGACACAGCAGGGCCTAGTGTGCCCTCTGTGCTGGACAGGGTTCTGGAAGTATAGGTGAAACAATGATATTATTCTTCGTCCTGATCCTGGAGAACTTTTTATAGCATGAAAGAATTTACTGTTCAGATTTACCATGGGTGGAAGTCATGCTTTCAGCTGAACTCCTGGAGTTGGTAAAGGATTCATTGTCCTGTATGTCATTAGGTTAAATTTGTCAACCTTCACAAACACTGGAGGCTGTGATGTCAAACCATTGTCCAGGCCTTCTCTGCCCACCACTTGTTCGCTCCCCTGAAATTTCAAGCACCAACAATCCCATTGGAACCCTTGAATGCTATTTTCTTTCTAAAAATCTCCCATGCTTATTTCTGTTGATTAATTACTTCATACTGAAGATTGCTTTTGCAAACAGAAAGCTGTTCCCGTCCATAGGCCTTTAAAATGTGCTAACATTTGCTGATCTACAATCTCTGCCCAAACAAGAGGAATGTATCACTAGTGAGGAGGGTTTTCTACAGCTGATGGAAAAATGTCAGAATGAAGACTTTCCTTTACCCAGTTACCATATATTGAATTAATATCAAGGAACTGGAACATGTTGTAATCTAAGCTTTCCATCCATTAGAAAAGAAACCACTGAAGTGTCTATACTGCTGGAAAAAGACAAAATCATGGCCTATTACAGAATTTGACAGACAGCTGGTATTTGCTTTTATGAGCTGAATAGAAAGTCAGTGTTATGTGTCTTAAAGTGGTTTTTATCTCTTGGCTCTGGGGTGGAAGCCAATGCTAACTCCAATCCTGCCTTCCTCTAATTTTAGACATGGTTCGTCCATCGGAGAGCAGAAGAGAGGAAGAGTCAGAGGCGTGTCGTAGTACAGAGCACACCTCCTCGTATTGAAAAGGTCCTTCTCATTATCGATAGGGATGACTATCCCTAGAGTGCAATCTTAGTTCAGGAGCTAGAGGGAAATCTGGTGACACCTGTACTCAATGTCCAGCTTCACTAAAATTCAGCACTCATGTTAACAATAAAATCATGAAATTCCAAGTTATTTAATTTCATATGCTTTCTGGGGTTTAGTATTCTTCAGATGTACACTCTTCAGGAAATGCCATTTAAACATAATGACACGTTCTATTTTTGGGGGGTGACATTTCTAAGTCATGAGTATTGTTTTCACTGATGACTATTGCCTACACATCGGAATTGTGAAACAGTGGATCACTTAAGCCTTCTTGATTCAGGGTCACTTGATCCTTTGAGCACGGGATTCAGTAGTAACCCTGCAAATGGAGAATCTAAGGAGAAGGTGGGCACAGAAAGTATTGATGGTGATGATTACTTTTTATTTGGGGAGGGGTCACAACAATGCTTTCTTTTTTCTTTTAATGAAAATAGATTTTTCTGTCACATACCATATCCTGATTATGGTTTCCCTTCCCCCTACTCCTCCCAGTTCCTCCTCACTCACCCTTCCATCTGGACATATCTACCATTCTGTCATTAGAAAACAGCTCTGATAGGTGGAAGCCACTCACAGGCCATCCTGGGTCCTCAAGACCTGGGCTGCGTAAAGCAGTTGATGGAGGTTGGGTGCCATTATAATGAGCAAATGTGTGGTGGAGAAATGGGAGAAAAAGAGAGACAGAATGGTTCATGTGCTGTGGAAAGAGGTGGAACAGAAGAACCGAAGGTGGTGAGGAGCTGGCTGAGGTAGATGGCTTGCTTGTCACCCAGGGAAGTGATGATTCCTGTGCCTGGGCTGCTTGAAGGTCATGTCTGGGTCCATGGCCTTACTGCAGCCAGGGTCTATGTGTTGATATCCATGGCTCCTGCTACCATTGAAAGCCATGCATATGTCTGGGGTCTGGGCTGTCACCTGGGGCGTGTTGGTGACCCAGGATCATGCTGCCTCTGGGGCCATGCCAATCTGAGTGCCTGTGCTGCTACCCGGGGCCTTGGTGACATCCAGGCCATGTAGCTGCCTATGACAATGTCTGGGTCCATGTCCTACTGCAGCCAGTGCCTGTGTTAAAGTCTGTGTCCTGTGTTGCCACCTAGGCCACATGGATACCCAGGGTCTGTGGCACAACCTGTGGACTTGTCCAAGCCTCCAGAGCCATGCTGATCTGAGTAGCCTATGCTACCACCTGGGGCCTAGGTGTCATCCGGGCCCAAGTAGCTGCTGAGGGCCATGTCTAGGTCCGTGTCCCTATGGCAGCCATGGTCTGAGTTGATATCCATGGCTCCTGTTACCACCAAGGGGCATGAAGATGCCTGAGGTCTGGTCTGCCACCTGAGAACATGCTGGTGTCCCACAGCCATGCTGCTGCTCTGGTTGGCCTGTGCCATCACGTGGGGCCGTAGTATGTCAGGGCCCAAGCTTCAGTCTAGGGCCATCTCTGGGTCCATGGCCCCACAGCAGCCAGGGTCTAAGTTGATGTCCATAGCATCTGTTGCCACCAAGGGCCATGCAGATGCCCAGGGTCTGGTTAGCCACCTCAGACTATGCTGGTGTCTGAGAGCCATGCTACTTGATGCAGGGGCTGAACTGCTCTGAGTGACATGAGCTGAGACACGGGACATGGTAACATCTGGGCCCGAGATGCTCTGGAGGACCACCTCTGGATCTGTGGTCGTACTATAACTGGAGACTGTGTTGACATCTGTGGGCCATGTTACCATAGGAGGCCATGTATGATGAAATCCAAGGGCAGTGCTGAGCCACACCTGCCCTGTGTTGGCCCTAGGAAAGCTGGGCCTGCTCCTCACTAGACACTGCAGCTAGAGTGCTGAACTTGACCCTCACAGGAGAGCTGGCCCCAATGACTCTGGCATGGAGAGCTGGCCCCCTATACTTAGAAGAGTTGGCCCCATCTCTCAACACAGGCATGAGAGTGATGACCCTGATGCCATGGGCATAGGAGAGCTGGTTCCACCTCCACCTGAGGGGGCAGCCTTAGTATCAAGGACTGACCAACTCAACTACCACCCAGGTCCATATCCAGGGCCTTGGATTGGCCCACCCTAACATCAACCCCATCTAGGACCTGCTGGAGCATGTGAAGGGACTGGTTCTGCAGATCTCCATGACTAGGGGCAGCCGTGGGATATCAGAGAGGAGTGTCAGTGAGGATCCAGTGATGACGGTGTACCAGAAACCAGAGGCCTTGAACCAGACCAATGACTCATTACAATTTTCATTTTCGGATGGGGCTGATTGAACAAAGGGTATACTGCAGGACACACCGAGGATCCCAGTGCCACTCAAATGAATGAAGAGATGTTGAAGAGGCGGGAGAGACAAAAGAGAGAAGTGGGCTTTTTTGTTTGCGTGGTTGGTTGGTTAGTGGGTTGGTTGGTTTAGTTTGGTATTTTTTATATTTTATTATAGGGGAGGGATGCTGCAAGGGTGAAGGGAGGATATGGAGGACTGGGAAAGGAGCAGATTTGGGGTGCATGATGTGAAATTCCCAAAGAATAAAGATTGTGTGTGTGTGTGTGTGTGTGTGTGTGTGTGTGTGTGTGTGTGTGTGTGTGTGAAAACATACAGGCTTCAAAGGAATAATAATAAAATAAACTATAGCCAAGCTGTTGTGGTACATGCCTTTAATCCCAGCCCTCGGGAGGCAGAGGCAGGCAGATCTCTGTGAGTTCGAGGCCAGCCTGGTACAGTGTGAGTTCCAAGACTGACGGGGCTACACAAAGAAACCCTGTCTTGAAAAACCCAAAATAAATACATATATACATACATACATACATACATACATACATACATACATGCATACTTAAAACAGAAACTAACATGTTAGAATACAACAAAATAATGTGCGGCCTGGGTCACTCAGAGATTCACTGTGACCATGAATAAATTTAAATTAGGACAGGCTTTATTAAATAAGAACTGGTGATCCCATCCTGCCTCGGACTTCCCTTCTGGAGCACAGGTGAGTGCCCTGGCTTGGCCCGGACCCCATCTCTGGGCACCAGCCACTCCTGGGAAGACCTGCCCAATTTGGCCCCAGGTTCTGGCCACTGGGCAGGTTCCCTTCTAGCCCCACCGGGAAGGATCCCCTTCTCCAAGACCCCCGGCAGACCCTGCAATCTCCACGCCTTGCCCCCACCCCCATCCGCCTGAGACCCCAGGCACTTCCTTAGATTTAGAGGCCGGACCCCAGCTCCCATCCTGCCCCGGACTTCCCTTCTGGACAAGAGCGCCCATCCTACCCTGGACTTCCCTTCTGGACAAGAGCACCCAATCTGCCCCGGACTTCTTCTCTGGACAAGAGCTCCCATCCTACCCCAGACTTCCCTTCTGGACAAGAGCTCCCATCCTGCCCCGGAGTTCCCATTTGGACAAGAGAGCTCCCATCTGGAAAAGAGAGAGAGAGACTTCCTGAATCTGTCAGCTCTGTCTGAACCAAGTGTGCTGATAAGACCAAAAACGAACCACAAGGAGATGGGCAGACATCAAGGCAGAAATACATACAACAAAATGAATAGCAATACAGCATCACCAGAACCTAGCCCTCCTCCAACACCTAGACCTGAACATCAAAAATTGGAAGAAGCAGAAGAAAACAGCCTTATGAATGACATCCTGAAGAAGGTAGAGGCTTGTGTAGAGGAAAAGACAAAAAATGGGAAGAACGCTGTAAACAACTAGAGGAAAGGGCAAACAAATTAGAAGAAATCAATAAAGTCCTGGAAGAAAACAATAAAGTACTGAGAGAAAATCAAGAAAAATCAATGAAACAAATGAAGGAAACAGTCCAAGACCTGAAAAGGGAAATAGAAAAAATGAAGAAGACACAAACAGAGGGAATGCTGGAAATAGAAAATCTGAGTAAAAGATCAGAAACTTCAGATGCAAGTATAACCAACAGAATGCAAGAGATGGAAGAGAGGATCTCTGGCATTGAAGATACAGTAGAAGAAATAGATTCATCAGTCAAAGAAAACACTAAAGCCAACAAAGTCATGAACCAAAATTTGGGACACCATGAAAAGACCAAACCTACGAATAATAGGGGTAGAAGAAGGAGAAGAATAGCAACTCAAGGGCACAGAAAATATATTCAACAAGATCATAGAAGAAAACTTTCCCAGTCTCTGGGAGTCAGTCACCACTGGCCCAGGGATTGAACCTGAGTCCCCTCAAACTTGAGTAGCAGGTACCTCTACCCTATGTGTCATCTCGCTGGCCTGGATAGATATTTTAATACTAGGTGATGCTAGGCTAAACTTTTCTTGTTTTTTTTTTTTATTAAACCTTTTTGTTATTGTTGTTGATACAGGGTCTTATATGCAGCCCAGGCTGGCCTCAAATTCACAGAGGGCAGCCCACCTACCCTTCCTTTAAAGTATTCAAGGAATATACCACCATGTCTGGCTACTTAGTGTTTTTCATTGATTGATAAGAATTGCCCATGTTGACCATGTGGTAGTGGCACATGCCTTTAATCCCAGCACTTGGGAGGCAGAGCCAGGTAGATCTCTGTGAGTTTGAGGCCAGCCTGGTCTACAGAGCGAGATCCAGCACAGGCACCAAAACTACACAAAGAAACCCTGTCTCGAAAAACCAAAAAAAAAAAAAATCACCTTTACAGATTTACCTTCTGAATTTAGAAAGAACCGGTATAGAATTAGACATCACTAGCTAGTGTTTTGTTTCAAACTTTCTCTGGCATGCTAGCCTTCATATTCTGTAGGAGGGCATTGTGTGAATTCTCTGTCCATTTATTCATTGATATAGCACTTTTTCTGACAGTAAGTTCTAGGTAACAGAGTCTCTCTCTCTCTCTCTCTCTCTCTCTCTCTCTCTCTCTCTCTCTCTCTCTCTCTCTCTCTCCTCCCTCTCTCTCTCCCTATCTCTCCCTCTCTCCCTATCTCTCCCTCCCTCCCTCCTTCCCTCCCTCGCTCCCTCCCTCCTTCTCCCCCATTCTGATTCTGAAAATTTAATCCAAGACCTTTCACATGCTATACAAGATTTCTAGCCCTGTGACCATCTTTTGTGAATAAATTTTGTTTCTTACAAAATAAACCTGATTC